GCTCAGTGATAGAAAAAGTTCTGGAACCTTATCTCATATCCTACCTTCATACGCTACAACATACAATTCTTCAGCTGAATAATGTAACACCACACATTACGAGAGTCACCATGGACTTCTATCAACAGGCTAAAGTCAATCTTTTGCCTGAGCCCCCGAGATCCTCAGATTTATCTCCAATTAAACGCGTGGGGAACATGATGGGTCGGAGCCTTCTTAATTTAGAGCATCTTACTCAAACTTTGGGAGTACTTTGGAAGGAGTTAATTAGGGCATTGAACGAGATACAGGCGAATCCAAAAGTGTATTGCCCACCAAGGTGCATAGATAGATAGATGGATATATGCATCTGGCTTATATGTTGTGCATCACTGATCTGGCTTCACCCTGGATAAAGATATTAAGTGGTGGTAGATTCAGTAGGACTTTTTTTTTTATGGCCTCTGTACTCTACAGGTATGCTAGCCTTTGTGTATTGCATAGCAGCCTTATTGCTCGCACTTGCTGCGTCTTTGTTCACTATGTCACCGAGCCATAGGTTATCATGGGTCTAATAACCCTTGTAACTCGTGTAAACCGATAGAGTCATTTTTGGGTTAAGTCCCCAATTCTTACAGCACATTCTTCTACTTCTACCCAGGAACATAGTAGCTCTCTGTGTGGTTTTCAGAATGTGAGTATTCCATGTAAGCCTATGATCAAAATACACCCCAAGGTATTTTGTTTCTTTGGCAAATTAAATCTCTGTTCCTCACAGCACCGGTGGTTTTAGGCCTGAAAACAATTGCTATATTGTCAGCATATCCTAGACAGTAAAAGCCTTCTGTAAACAAATTTCTGAGGAGATCATCCACCAAGGTTGCCAAAAGTAGAGAAAACAGAAATCCTCCTTGTGGACAGCCTCCCCCACTTTTGCTTCGATGGTTGCTTTACCCAGAGTAGATATTACTGTCTTATTTTTGAGGGATGTCCTTATCCATCTGCATATTACCGCATATGCGCCTCGTCTACTTATAACCCGTTTTAAAGAGCTGGTAGTAACAATATAAAATGCCCCTTTTTAATCTAAAAAGCGGCCAGTGCTATCTCTTTATCTTCCATTGACTTTGAGATAAGCCTATTTAGATCATCCAACGCATAGTCCGTAGATTCAACAGGTTGGTATGCATATTGACGATTGCTTAGAAAATTATGTTTTAGCACTGTGCCTTCTTAATGCACCTATCAAGAACTCTTTCTAGTTCTTGATAGTCTTTAATAAAAAAAGACGATAGGCTATCGATATCTTATCGGTATATATGACTTTTCGTCTGAAGACGAAGAACAAGGAGGATTTAGAGCAGGTCGTTCATGTACAGATAACATCTTCTGTCTTAAACAAATTATAGAAAAGAAAGTTGTGACAAATAGAGAGTTACATATGACTTTTGTAGATCTTGAGAAGGCATATGACACAGTCCCGCTAAATAAACTATGGAAAGTCCTGGGCACATCAAATATACATCAAACATTGGTTAGTGCTCTCAAAGATCTATATTATGGTTCAAACTCCCAAATGAAATTCGGAAATCTCTTAGCTGAAAAATTTGCAGTTACTAAGAGTCTCAGACAAGGATGTTGTATTTCTCCGACTCTGTTTAAGATTTATATCTCTGCAGCTCTGAAACAATGGAAAAGGAAAGTCAAAGGAATGGGTATACAATTGAACGATCAGGATTACATATATACTTTACAGTTTGCAGATGATCAGGTGGTGATCTCAAATGACAAAGACGACATGGAATACATGCTTAGAAAACTAATTGAAGAATACCAGAAATGAAGATTAAATATCAATTTAGAAAAGACAAAACACCTCTCAATTGGAGCTGAAGCAGAACAACTCGATATCGATGACAATCAAAAAGTAAATCCATGTGACGAATATAAATACCTGGGCGTCATCTTCGACCGTAGTGGAAAAGACGAACGAGAAATAGAACATCGAATTGTACAAGCACGAAGAGCTATAACATGTTTGAACGGAGTTCTATGGAGTAAAGAAATATCAAAGAAAAGAAAATGGAACATCTATGAGACCATGGTTAAAACTAGCCGACTTTATGGAGCTGGGAGATGGAGAATAACCGAGAAATATAAGAAAAAGGTCGAAGCCACGGAAATGGATGCCATCAGAAGATCGATGAGAATATCAAGAGCCGACAGAATACGGAATGAAGTGATAAAACAACAAATGGGTATAGAGAGCACTATAGTGGAGGATATTGAGAGAAAACAGCTCATATGGTATGTACATGTGAGCCGAATGGGGGACGAAAGATTGCCTTAAAAAACGATGACGTGGCAACCCCCAGAGAAGAGGAAACGAGGAAGACCACCACAGAGCTGGAACCTGGGAGTTAGGAAAGCGATTAGCGCTCAAAATCTGGACGAAGACCTAACTCAAGACCGAATACAGTGGCGGTTGGGAGTCGGACAACGTCGTAAGACGTTATAAAACCGAATGTATATATATATATATATATATATATATATATATAATATATATATATATATATATATATATATATGACTTTGGTGTTAGGTATGATACTTTACCTTCCTTAGCCAAGTATATGACTTTAAATGAAATGAGGTTGAATGCTTATATATATATATATATATATATATATATATATATATATATATATATGACTTTAACCTTTTGCCATATTTCCAGTACTACCCCTCATGCTAAACTGGCTTTGAGGAGCTTGCATAGGTGTTATATCAATACCTCTAATCTCATATGCAACAGTATTGGATATATGCTATCTTTCCCCTGGAGACTTATATGACCGAAACTTATTAGCCCATCAAATTTTGTTTGGTCTTGTGATTGCTGTGACTATTTCCCAATCTGTAGACCTTGGCCTCGTCAGCTTTTGGTCTATGTTGGTTTCCTATCTGCATCATCCAGAATTGTTGAGCCCGGAATGTGCATGTTTATCAGTTCTCTAAGACTTTCCTCTTTGGTGTCCGTAAATTTGCTATTAGCTTTATTTAAAAAACCTACTTCTTTAGTTGTAGAACCATCCTTTGCCAGGACTTTATGGATTCAAGAACATGCCGGGATATCTATAATCTCCTCCCAAAACTCTCTCCATGAATTCCTTTTAGCTTTCTGAATTTCTTTATTGTATAGCGTTAGCTTATACCTGTGGGCATCCCAGACTTGATATTTTTGGCTTTGTTAAATAGGCTTCAGACTTCCGACCTCATCCTCATTAAGCCGTTGTTTCACCAGACTGTATTAGTGTCCGTACTTTTACTTGTTTTTTCTGAACAGTTTTTCTACTAAGCCGCCATAATAGCTTCACTTTCTGTTTCTGCCGAAATTTTGAAATTTTCGTCGTTTGTTTATTCACTGACATGTCTAATTGAATAATGGGTGTCTGGATTTCTATATCACTTAGTATAAATATATGTATATATTCAACATATTTACTAACTTGTATAAAGTAATTAAAAATAATGTGTACGTTCCTGTACTAAGTTAACAAAATAAGGTACCATAAAGAATCAATCATTAATTTAACCTTCGTAAACCGCCCCTATAAAAAGTAGATACACAACCCACAACCAAGATCAAAGAAGAGAAAGAGAGAACAAGAACCTGTGCGTTGCTATTAAGGTTACGTTGCGATTCTTTACTTAAAAATCGCTCACAGACCCTACTATATTTTCCTGTTAGTTAATAGCGCAGTTAAATTTTGAATCAAAGGTGTTGAATTTATGGCGTATTTGGTATATAAGAGCGTTTTTTAGATCGACTTGTGAGATAATACATTTCTGATCTTAGGTTGAATATTCTTGGCAAGCTATGTTTTTATGGCGTTTTAGATTTTTGTAAATAATAATATCAGAATTCCAAGTTATCTCAAAACAACTGTATGATCTGCATATCTTATAGTATAAATAAGTTTTCTATTTATAATGATAAGTTCTCCTTAAAGAAATATATAACCGTTGACTTCTAAAAACTTTTAAAGAAAATATTCTTGCTAATAGTAAGAGGTAAATACCAAAAAATAACATTTATAAATTAACACGCACCGAGAGAAGAAAAAAACGTAGAAATAAAGGAAGACTTCTTTTTTATTATTCTTTAAAACACTTATTCCACTCCATATCAACCACGCAGGGTTATTAGTGGGATGACAAACACAATAGTTTTAATATGATTATGTTCATTAAATATTATTATGTTGTTTTTAAAAGAGATGATGCCATGGTGAAAAATTTGAGAGAAAAGACGTTGTTGTTTTTGAATTGGAATTTTGGCAGTGTAGTTTACTTATAATTATTTGGTCAGCTGTAAAAGTAGTATACTGTACCTTAGTCAGGACTATTCTCCAAAGAAAGACTTCTGCAATCAAATAGACACAGTATTTAAAAATATTTTTAATACGATGCAAAAATATTACTAGGTAATACTAATGCATAAATAGAAAAAGAAAAAATATATGTACCCAGTAGGAAAATATAATTTACATAAAGTAACGAATGAAAATGGTCACTTCTTAATATATTTTCCAAAAGAAAGAAATATAATTATCAAGAGCACGTAATTGCAATACAAAATAATACACCAAGGAACGTAGAGATTAGCAGGCGAGGAAACTGTAAACCAAATAGATCATGTCCTTGTCGAGAAAGACATGGAAAAATGTATAAAGAACATAAGAACTTACAAAGGACCAGGTGCAGACACATACCATTTTTATAGTTAGAAACCAGCGGAAAAAAGTATAAAGCAACTAATCCTATTAGATTACTGTCTGAATAAAACCAAAGAAGAAGAATAAAATAATTATGAAATAATAGTCAGTAGAGAATTATATAATATTGCAGAAAATGATCTAATAGAAATCTAAAAAAATGAATACACAGAATGGTTCAATGAGAAATGTAAAACAGAACTAGATAAACGAAATAATTAAAGATTTAAAATAATGCAGAACACAATCATCTATATAAAATTCCTGCAACAGAATATGAACAAGAAGAAGAACTTAAGCAAAATATTGATCAAGGACGAACAGAGGAAAAACCGACTAATGAAAAAGAAATAATAGAGAAACTAAAGAAAAATAAGAGCGTTGGTAAGGATAAAGCTACATAAAGCTAAATATACAGTATTGTATATAAATGACCAGTACTAATTGAGAATTTGGAAACGTTGCTAGAATATGAGAACAAGAAGAAGATGAGGACTAGAGCCACACTGTGTCCAATACAGAAAAAGGGCGACAAAAGTTTATGCCATAATTACAGGCTAATAGCGGTACTAAATGTTGCATATACTTGCAATACATATAAAGATAAGATATCACAAAAAATAGATAATTACATAGGAGAATATCAATGTGGATTGAAAAGAGGGTAAACCCTAGCATAGTAGATAAAATTTTCATGTTAATTGCGAATACGAGAATTCTTCTTCTTTTTCAAGTGCCCTCTTCGCTGCGAAGATCGGCGATCATCATAGCTATTTGGAGTTTTGAGACGGCTTCTCTGAAAAGTTTATTTAATGTACATCGGTACCACTCTCTTTCCCTGCATAATTAGCTGGAGTAAGGAGTATTTCTCTCCACATGTAATATGTCAGCGATATTCCAATTTTCTTGTTTTACTAGTATTTACAATTTCTATTGCTTTATTCATCCTTCTTAGAACCTTTTTGTTTGTGACGTGTTCTGTCCACGATATTTTTAGAACTCTTCTATGCACCCACAGCTCGAGTGATTCCAGTTTTTTCATTGATGTTGCATTCAAGGTTTAAGATTTTATTCCATAGAACAGAGTCGAAAAAACAGCACCTCGTCAACCTAACTCTTAGTTCCAATTTTAAATCCCTTTTACTCTTCTCATTTTGTTGAAATTTACTCTACCCTTTTCTATTCTATTGTTGATCTCCTGAATGTAATCATTTGAGGAGTTAATGATTGTTCCCAGATATGCATATTTGCCCACTTGTTCGACGCTGGTTCCGTTTATTAGATTTTTGTTGGTTTTTCAAGCCTACAAAGAAAATCAAGGACTGTTTAAGATCGGTGAAGGACAGACGCGACCCATTAGCAATGGCCAAAGTATACTGAATACCATGCACGTGTGGAATGGTATATGTGGGAACCACGGAAAAATACACAAACACAAGGATAAACGAACATAAAAGGCATTGTCGTTTAGGACATATCGACAAATCTGCCAATGTCGAACACGCTTTGCGTGTTTTGCGTTTTGATATCCAGATGCTGGATAAAACATCACAGTACTACCCATGGTTGTATCGGGAAGCGGTGGAAATATATAAACACCCAAATAATTTTAATCGGATAGAAGAAGGACTTATATCCGAAGGAAGAAAGAATGGCTTCCGGTATCCCGGTCTTCGGTTGCCAACTAGAATGTAGCTTCGACTGTTTTTTTAAATTTTTTTAAAATGTTTGTCCTTGTTTATTGTAGTGTTATGTACAATTTTATGTTTAATTTTCTTTTTATGACATTCTGCGATTGTTGGATAGCCCAAAATTGACGAAATGCCCCTGAAGATAATCTAGGAAACGAAAGTACTTGGGCAAGATTTAATTTATAAAACTGTGCTCCATATCTGCCCTTTATTTCATCAAAATTACAAATAAGACTGCAAGAGAGCCATCAGGTGTTTGTAAGTGGCCAAACCATTGGAAATAGACTGCATGAAATAAGGTTAAATGCTCGAAGACCTATAAAAGTGCCTGAGAAAAGACTTCAGTGGGCACAAGAATACGCAAATTGGCTTAGACGTGAGTGGACCTCTACTTTCTTCTTAGATAAATTCTGATGGCGGCAGTATAATGGTATGGGGTCTTCATCACTCTTGGTAGAAGAGCCAATCTCCTCTGTCTGGAACGTTTTCCACATGTAACAGACTACCGCGATGTTATTCTCGAATCTATTGTTGTACCATTCGCACAACAAGTTAGTCTGCATACTGCCAGTGTCATGCGAACATTCTTCGAAGATAATGAAATTGTGGTTTTAGCATGGCCTGACAATCGCTAGATTTACTCAATTCAGAATGTATGGGACATATCGGGCAGACGCATAATAGAATATTGCGTTCAATACAAGACAGCAACTGTTTTGAGGGCCTCTCAATGAATTGGAATAAAATTCTACAGCAAGACGTTGATCATCTGATCATATATTCTAATAAAAAATATTTATGTAATTACCCTTACAGATGTAGGGTATTAATCAATAACTGTGGAGGTCATACATATACTTACTAACCTAAAGACTACTTTGTTGGGAGTTGAGGGGCAACAAATTAGTTTTTTATTTTTTTTTTTGTTACTATTTTTTGATTTATTGAGTTTTCTGCTAATTTTCTTAAGACTTATTGCGATAATTCTAAGAAAAAATGTTGATGTTATATTCGGAATACTTGTTTATAACTTTTTATTAAAAATATTTGAAAAAAGGTATTTGAAATCTTTCTGTAATCTCGCATTGTGTTTTTATCCCCTAGATTATTTTCATGCGTGTATATTTCTCCAAATTCTTTGTTTTTACTATTCTACTCTATTTTATCACCAAGTGGGAAGGAAGAGCCTGGGAAATTATGGCCACCTATCCATTCGCACGGTGCCTTACAGAGGTACTCCGACCAGTCCATTAGAAGTGATTTGAAAATATTTCATATGTGTATGATTCGATAGGGGCATTTTCAGAACAGTTGGCTAATAGTAAAATCGTATATGTTTTGAGGCGGGGCGATGCATATTAGAGTGCGTATTAGTGCACCACTTAGGCACGCAATGACAATCTAGCTATAATATTATACTTTATCGTTTTTTAAAGAAAGAAAAAAGTACTCTGAGTGGTCTGTAAAAACAAAATGGAGTCGTAGATCTACCTTTGAACTATTAAATATCTACAAGCATAAGCCTGATAGAAAAAATATTACCGCCATAATCAACCGAAACTGTCAGCCATCGAACATGAAAAAAAAAAAAAGGATTTTAACAGCGCATCAGATTAGAATAATTTAAAAATTGTATCTATAATTTCTGGTGAATTTAATCAAGTATATAAAAATATTTTCTGATAATTTTAAAACGACTTTTCCTGCACTATTTGTCGCTTCTGTTGCTATTGGTGATACACTACACACTTTTCCTTCCCTCTCGTCTTTCCCCCAAGGAGTATCAACCCGCATGTATCGGCACCGTATCCATGACCGAAATGGGAATTTTCGTTAACATAAATGGTGATAGAAAATTTTACTACTGCATAGTCAGAGAAGGTTTTTTATTTTGGTGTTTGAGTACATTGTTTTTATGTTTCTACACGGTAAATTTGAATAAACTTTAACCTTCTTATAGGGTATATAAAAAAACAATTCAAGACAAAAGACGTGGTGCGGTACGGATGCAGCAGTGATAGTGGCCTGTAGCTTGCACCGAGAATATCCACGCAAATTCTTGATAATTATTCACAAAACAGTTATATATTTCATACGCCCCATGCGGTGTTTATTTTGAATTGAACAGAAATTGTCATATCGTAAGAAAAGGCAACAATTTTTGCTTCACATCTCTCACACGTTTTTGGTGCACCTGAAATTAATAACAATAATAACAAAGAATAAGTTAAAAACTTCTTAGACACTCCATGTCCACTGATGGTACCAATTAAATACTTTAATTATAGTAATGTAAAAGAACAAATTTCTAGATGCAATAACTACAAAGCACCAGGCTTCTACATGCTCACCAGGTTAATATTAAAAAAGTGACCGTGAAAAGTAATTGTCCTATTAACAATGATATAGAATCGTATCATAAGATTAGCTTACTACCTGATTAATTGGCAGTTCGCACAAATAATTATGATTAGTAAACTAAATAAACCACCAAATATTACTTCATATAGATCAATCAGCTTACTTCAAATAATGTTAAAAATCTTAAAAAAACTTCTGCTCCAAAGAATCTCAGAAGACATCGAAATTAATTCAGTGATCCCAACGCACTAATTTGGTTTCCGCGACGCCCATTCAACTCTACAACAATAAAGTTGAAAACATTAATGTATGCCTCGAAGAAAAAAAAATTGCACTGCTGCCTTCCTGGATATAGAACAAGCCTTCGACCGTGTTTGGCATGACGGCCTCCTGTATAATCTTAAGTCATATTTTCCTACTCCTCACTATCTACTCTTGAAATTTTACCACAGAACGTCACTTTCAAGTCAGGTTCCTTTCAGAAACCTCTCACCCATAAAATCCGGTGTCCCTCAAGGAAGTGTCCTGGGTCCCCTCTTGTACCTCATATACACTGCTGATATCCCAACAACAAATGCGACCACAGTAGCCATGTTCGCAGATGACACCGCCATAATATCCATCGATGATCCCCCAAGTAGCATCAGGAAACCTTCAAATACACCTGAACCTACTACAAGATTGGATGAATAGATGGAAAATCAAAGTTAACCATAGTAAGTCTAATCAAATTACAGTCACCAACAGGAACAACATATGTCCAAAAATCAGACTGAACAACATATTACAATCAGTAAAAATAGAAGTCAAATACCTGGAAATTACACTTGATTAAAAACTCACTTGGAAAGCACACATCTTGGCAAAAAAAATCCAAATCAACATGAAAATACGCCAAATAAATTGGCTAATAGGCCGAAAATCACAGTTATCTACAGATAATAAACTTCTCTTGTATAAGTGCATAATAAAGCCTATATAGACATATAGAGTGCAACTATGGGCTGTGCAAAGCGTTCTAATACCAAAATCATTCAGAGAATCCAATCCAAAATACTCAGAATAATTTTCAATGCGTCTTGTTACGTTAGTAACAAAACACTGCGTGATGACACTGGCATACCGTTTGTTGGAGACGAAATCAGAAGACTAACAAGAAATTATGTAGAACATCTGCCAGCCCACCCCAACGAAGAAGCAAGACAACTACACCTCCAACCAGAAGTCAGACAAAGATTGAAGAGACAGTAGTCAACAGACTGTATTCACTAATTTCAATTTTAATTTTAATTTTCATTTCAATTTTAGTTTCAAATTATAATCTTACATTAA